TACCAGAAGACATTGGGTTTAAGAGTTTTATTCGTCCCGGCTGTTGCAGTTAACTACAGGGATCAGAGTGCTTATCAGACCAAGAAAGGAGAGAGATGAAGAGAGAGAAAGAGAGAGAGAGAGAGAGAGAGAGAGAGAGAGAGAGAAAGAAAGAAAGAGAAAGAGAGAAAGAGAGAGAGATTCGCATGAAGGAGCGATTAGTATGCAAAATTCACTTTAACGCGAATATTAATTTTCTTACTTGTATTTATTTTGTTTTCCTTTTCATTGCTTTTTCTTTCATTTATTTATATCTTTATTTATTTTTTTTATTCACAGTCGTTGGCAGGATCATTTGCCCACTAAAATTTCTTCTACAACTGGTCGCTTGCTTGACCTAAATAGTGGGGGGAGTGGTGGAGCAATGAGACTGCTAGTAGCAGTAGCTAAGGTGGCGCATATAGTGAAAGGCTTTTCTTTTAACTACAATTTTTTTGCTTTTCATGCTTAATTTTCCAGATAATTGTATTAACTACTTATTTATATCAAGTGGCTTATAAATTAATATGTAAACTGTTTATGTGCAAGTATTTACTGGAAAGCTAGCGCAGTGAAAGCTTTCTTGTTTACCGTTTTCAACACTATACACTATAGTTGAAGAACTTCAAATTGAGATATTTCGACACTCAAATAAACGTTTTCCTTATGTTAAAGATTCGGGAAACGATTTTGCTACAAAAAAAAAAAAAAAAAAATCAATTATCCATTCGTCGACTGGAATATTAAACCTAAACGGTAAGGATATCGATGATGCAATTGAAAGTGAACGGAATTGCAAGTAATGTAAAAATGCTGCAGCTCATCGATGAATTTGTTGAAAAATATTTCAAATTTAAAAAATCCTCTTGTAAATAGTAAGCCGAAGTAAGCCGAAGCACTCGTACAAGCATACCACTTTTCTTGCACAGCACTTTAGACAAGGCCGAGATCGCCGAGATAAGCTCCTACCTTTTATATATATATATATATATCGTTGATTCATTTAGGATTTCGACAAACAACAAATTACATTAACTTTAATTAATACAATTGCAATACTTAAGCGTATTGTGTGTCTTATGCTGCGAAGCATTCAGTTCCTTAAACATAGCCAAGCTATCGATATATTTGTGATATATTTTTCAAAAATTCGCAAGCGGGAAACGAACGGTTTTGCAATTCGAATGCTCTAAATAGTCTTTTTTTATAGTTACATGTAACTTACATATTGTTACTCGCCAATGAGTAACGCCCTAAATAAGTTAAACGAAACTAATCGTTTACATAAATCGCTTGCGAACGATCTAAAAGTTCAAGTATTATATATTTTTGATCGTATCCTTGAGAGAGGAAGAAATTATGAATCGCTCCTTATCGTTAAAAATGAGGAAAGATTTTTGAACTCGATTGCAGGGACAAAATTTGACAATGATTTTGATTTGTCGTAATAAATTCGGTTTCTTGGCTGAGGGGAGGAAGTCAATTCACCAAGCAAGAATAGGTGAATTCGAATATTCCAAATATATTATCATTCTATCGATATCTTCAATTAACACTTGTTTACAATAATGTTTTATACATTTTTGCAAGCCTTGTAAATGATCTTAATTTTTCTATGTATGTATGTATGTATTTATGTATGTATGTATGTATGTATGTATATATATATATGTATATATGTATATATGTATATATGTTGCCTATCTGCAATTAAGAAGAAAATCACGATTTTTTAATTTACTTATCTAAGATGACGCCCATCGATGATTTGCAGCTTTTCTTACTTGCTTATCTATTTAACTATCTGATTAGCATTCAATCTGCGTATCTGCGTATATATTATTAGTTGGCGTCATAATGCACTAATCTTATTGCAGCTTATTTCGCTAATTAACGTTTAATTTTCATATAAACTAAAAATTCCGATAGTTTCATCATTACAATCCAAAACGAACGACGACAGGCATTACGAGTTTATATTACGTTGTTGTCGTTACTACGTAATCTTCATATATATATATATATATATATATATATATATATGTATTTGGTTGCAAGCATTATATAGATCGTATCGCGATTTATGGGAATTGCTGTCCATGCATATGTTGTGTTGGATTAACAACATGATTATTATTGTGCTTATGATGCTTTTATATGCATACATTCGCTATATAACCAGGTGATATATTAAACTTGCCAAATGCTCTAGCATATGTCCCTGCTTACCTTACCTACATGAATATGACAATGCACATGCGGCATATGCGGCTTGAATATGGTAATCAATTTAATTTAACATTTGCTTATCTATCATTCATTCTAATGAAATCAGTAAACTTGATCTCAAATCATCTAAAATTCTTATCGGATTGAAATCAAGAGGCAGTCAAGTGCTGAAAAAAAGTGATAATTGCGTGTGTGTGTGTGTTTTTGCTTTTTCCTTTACTAAATTATAATCCGAAAGTTGTAGAAACTTATCGAAGAAACTAAACAACTAAACAAAATCGGACGAAAAGCTCTATCATAATTTCGACAAACTCTATGTAGAAATAAGATGAAGCATTTAAATTGAATCTTTAGTTTGAACAAATTTCCAAAAAATGATAATAATATGTGATAATAATAATGTGAAACAGATTATATATCCAAGCTATGCATAGATCGGTTAAATTGATGCTTGACGCTTGAC